GAGGCTTATTCCCTGGTAACCAACAAGAACAACAGTAGAGTAAATAGTCTTCAGTGGTTACTAGGTTTTCTAGGTGTTGCAAACAGGGCTACTAAGTTGCCCAACTGTTACCTAAATGGGTAGAAAAGTTCTTCCAAGGCAAAGCCTATCAGTGCTCTGACAGCCCTATCTTTACCAAGACTTATATTGTTTAACAGCTCTTTCCCCATTCCAACCAACAAACATTTGACTTTTTAAAATTATAATTTCTCACCTATAGATTTATGCCAAAGGAAAACATTAAAACTCAGGTCATGGGAATTTTATCCTCAGCTGACTCTTACTATTTCAAGCAAGTAGAATCTATAGGTAACACTTCTGTTACTTCATTCTCCCCAATCTCAGTCTCTAGTCCAAGTATCTCATATCAGAATATACACTAATAAATGAATAGCTGTAACTGGGGGAATTCAAATACCCTGCCACGGAGTCAATTCCAAATCATAGTGACCATATAGGACAAAAGTACTGCATTGTAGACTTTCCAAGGGTTAAAATCTTTACAGAAGCAGACTGCCTCATCTTTTTCCTACAGGGTGGCTGGTGGTTTTGAACCTTCAGTCTTTTGGTTCGCAGCCAAATGCTTTAACCACTGCACTACCAGAGCTCCTGTGGGAACTCAGAAGTGTTGTAAACCATGCTTTGAGGCCACAGTTCATACACATTTTGTTTCAGAACATTGATTGCAATCACCGTGATGTAACAACTCACTTCCCACTTGCTCCTTGTTGTTATCTTTTCCCTGTGTCCTTTTTTCCCTCTACATTCCTGCCCTCTGCCCTCTGAGCTATGTCCTTGTGCATCTCCCATGATTAAGGCAATAAATCTTTATGGAAACAGACTGCCTCATCTTTTTTCTGACCAGCACCTGATGGATTCAAACTGCCGACCTTCTGATTAGTAGCTTAATGCTTTAACTACTGTGCCATCAGAGATACTTGCATGCACATATACTCACACATAAAAAATACCAGTTTATGGAGGAACCTGATAACCAGCCTTAGGACAAAATTCAAAGGACAACAGAGAGTCAAAATTTTAAACCGGGACAATATACTCGCTTTAACACATAACATTGTAGCTTGTAGCATTGATTATATCATACAAATAAGAAGTCTAAATGTGGTTTTTTAAAAATCTGTCCTTTCTACTATTCATTCAGTAATTTTATGTGATTTATCCTGAGCAATTAAGAAAATCTCAATAAAGGGAAAACATACCCTAGAAGCCATATCATGCATATATAACATATATGTATCTCACTACAATGCAATAAAACTAGTAAAAAGAGTAAGTTTTAAATATCTACTGTTAGAAATTTAGAATATTTAAGTTAAATTTGAAATGAAATCTGGCCTAAGGGGTAGTCATACACAACACCCAGAGAGTCTTTAGAAATCTGTCATTATTATTGTTATTGAATCAGTAGTAACAGGATGAAAAATAGCTTATAACTGAAAAAGAAAAAGAAAGGGGGAAAATATGATGCATTCATGTTAGATTTTAGGAGAAAGACAATTACAATTTTAAAAAATCCAAAAGAAATAAGAAAGATACACTGGTGAAGTTTTAGAAAAAAAAATCAGAAAGCATAAAATAATTGCTTATGATCAACAAATCCAAAATTTAATTCTTAGAAACTTGGTAGAGAATTTTGTCCACTGGTAACTCTCAAACAAACCAAAATCCTAGATTATTGCAAATGACAATTCTACCTTTCAACTTTTAGTTAAAACCTATAATCTATCTTAGCAATGATTTAGAATAAAAGCTTAATATTCAGAAAGACTCAAAAGAAAAATACGTTTTTCAAATTAAGAAATATGGATCACAGAAAGATCATAAAAATCACTCTGCTATGAATTTTTAAGCCCCATATATGAAGAAAAAAAAAAAAAGACTGGATGTTAAAAATGCTGACTGGATATTGCAGCAAATCTTCTAAATTTTATTGAGACTGTTAAGGACTGTGGACAAACTCCATATATCAATACAAATAGTATTACTTATATTTTATGTGTTAAATTAATATGGATATACAATGTGAAAACAGGCCCATAATAATATATTGAAAACATTTATGAGAACTTGCTACACAAAGCATTAGGCTGAGGATGTCACTTCTCTGTAGTCTACTGTCTAAGATACATACAGGCAACAAAAACTAGCTGTAAGGCTCAGTGGGGCATGAGTGTCTGGGACACTAATCGTTGTGGGAGCTCAGAAGAGGGAGAGGCCCTTTTCTGCTGAGTAAAAAGGGCTCCTTCTTATGGGAAGAGGAGCTCTGGTAGCATAGTGCCTAAGGCACTTTACTGCTAACAGGAAGGCTGGTGGTTCAAACCCACCAGCCACTCCTTGGAAGGAAAGGTGGACATTCTACTTCCATATGATACTGTCTTGGAAACCCAAGGAGGGGTCGCCATGAGTCGGGTCCAACTCGATGGCACATAACAACAACTTATGGAAAGAAAGAGAAGTAGAGCTGGGCCCTGGGTGCCGAGAGTGGATGGACAAAGGGACTGGTGCCAAAAGAGCAAATGTAGGGTGTTAGGGAGATGACTGGAGAGCTCATTTGTCAACTTAGTGGGTAAGACCTTGAAAATAATGTCACTAGCTTTTGGAGAGCAGGCCTGTTAAGTTAGAAGCAGGGGAAAAAAAAAAAAAAACAACAACACAGAAAACATGAGAACCACTCGCAAAGCAGATCTGTCATGTCACTGCAGGCCACATTTACTCTTTTTTATCATGACCACCACTTGTTTCCTTTTTCCTACATACGACCTACAGGGTAGGTCTCCCCTTTACTCTCTGCCTAGGATGCCTCTTTTGGTTTTACATGTCTAAGGTACTTCTACTTATGCCTTTAGTTTGACTTAGGCATCGTTTCATCCCTGAAAACTTTATTGACCCCATTCCACCAGGCTGTATATCCAACTAGTAAGGACTTTTGTTATTCTCATGTGAATTAATTGTTCATATGCATACGTCCCCAATAGACTATGACCCTATGAGACAAGCACTATCTCTTCATTTCTGAATCCACAGTCCCAGGTGAAAGTAGACTAAGTCCAGCTTTAGGTGTGGGAAAGTTTGACGAGTAGGACTTGTGTGACATTCTGACCTGCGGTGTAGTAAATTACTTTGTATGGCTTTTCTACCCATAAGTCATTGTAAACTCAGTGGTAGAATGAGCAACTGAGGAGCTCCTGATTGCTGAAGCTATCCACCTGGGTTATTTCTGTTGGGCGTGGCACAATACAATGTTCTGGGAGGTTCCCACTCTCTCCCACGTGCTTAGAGTTCTGATGCTGTGATTGGCTAGTTTGACCATCCTTCTGGGCTGAAAAGGAGGCCTCCTGGAGGCAGAACTCTCTCTCTGACTGCTGGTTGAGGAAGACGTGCTGCTGAAAGAGACACGGGCTCCTGAGACACGCGTTGCTGGGAAAGAGATGCAAGAGACACGCATTGCTGAGTGAGACACCAAGGGACCAGCACTGCTGGGAAAGAGACTGTGAGAGACTGTTGGCTGAGGGATGGTGGGCTGGGAGAGAGACTGAGCATTTTTCCTGAACCTGAATTGTAGCCTGTGGTGCTTCCCTAATAAACCCCATAATCTGTGAGCTCTGTGTGGCCACTGAAGCGAATTATCGAACCCAAGAGAGAGGTGGTGGGAACTTTGGGAGGAACAGTTGGTGAAAGGGCTGGAGGGAGGCAGCATGTCTGGCCTGGCAGGAATAGGCCTTGGGTTACTGCTGGTAATCCTGTCTTCCTCTTGTAGGGTTAGAGGAGGTCAGAACATGGGGCCTCCTTGCTGTTTTTGCAGACCCATCAATCTATTTGACACATGGTCTGCTTCTCCTTGCTGGGTTTCTCTGTCTTCTCCGAATCTGAGGCTAATACAGGAACAAATACTTGAGTTCCTACATGTTGTGTATGCCACGACTCATAGTGACCCCTCCTTGAGTTTCCCTCCTTCCTTCTAAGGAGTGGCTGGTGGGTTTGAACCGCCAGCCTTCTGGTTAGCAGTCAAGTGCCTTAGGCACTATGCTACCAGAGCTCCTAGGCACTATTAGAGCATGTTAATTCATCATCACACAGCTCAAAGTTGTGTTATTGGAACTGAGAACAGAATTACAAAAATCCAGCCACCCAAAAGATCTGAGGACAGGTCATTCTGAGTAAAGGGACAGGTAAACATTGTGGCTCCAAGGTGCGAATGAACCTAGTGTGTTCCAATAACCAAGAAAAGGTCAGTCCGGCTGGAGCATACTTTGAGATAAGGTCAGTGACATAGGCAGAGACCAGGTCCTTAAGGTCTTGCAGACTCTGACAAAGGATTTGGATTTATTCTATGTACATTTGAAAGCCAGTGATGGTTGTTAAATAGAAGAATGCCATGATCAATTCTATGGTTTTAAAGGATCATTGTGGCTGCGATATAGAATATAGAATGTAAGAAAGAAATAGTTTAAATTAAAAACAAGCTATTACAAAGATTATTTTGAATTCATCCGAGGTTAATGATAGAAGGGAAGTGCAGAGAGAAGTGGAGAGTTTCAGGACTCATTTTAGAGGTAGAACTAACAGACTTGGTGGTGTACAGAATACAAGTGGAGAAAGGATTCAGAGAAATAAAGGGTAAGCCCCAAGTATTTGTTTTGAGTAATTAGGTGGCTATTGCTGCAACTTTCTCAGTTTAGAAAGATAGAGAAGATATTTAAACACTTACTTGAAAAGCGGGTATTGTTTTTTGGGAAAAAAAAATTCTGCTTTGGCAATTTATGTTTGAGGCATCCACCAGGCACCCACCAGCATGGAAATGTTGCATAATCAGTGGATATAGGAATCTGGAGCTCAGAGGCAGATATGCAAATTTTCTACAGCATCTCTTTCAAGATGGGTATCTAATCAGATTAAAACCAAATGTACGTGATAAGATTAATAAAATTTACACACAATACCTGTTATTGCAAGCTCCAGTGATAAGTCTGTATTTGTTTGCTAGGCAAGTATTTGGACATTTTGGTGGTAACATGTAAGGCAGGCATCCAGACACATTTGCAATTGTATTCAGAAGATCTTCTGATAAAACATCTGAGAAAAAAAGTAAGCAAACTAGAAACACATTATTTGTAATAATCTACCCAAAAAAACAAACCAAACTCACTGCCACTGAGTCAATTCGACTCAGAGCGACCTTTCCTTGGGTTTCTGAGGTGGTATCTCTACGGAAGTAGATTGCCCAAAATTCCTTACAAGGAGTGGCTGGTGGGTTTGAACCTCCAGCCGTCTGGTTAGCAGTCAAATACCTTAGGCACTACACCACCAGAGCTCCTAATAATCTACCCACTAAATAAATTTTCTAATGCCTCATAAGTTGCTCCAACAATATGAATTTGGGATTGATTTATGATGTCAAATTAATTGATATATTCAGAGGCAGCTTTTCTAGAAAAATTAAGTAGACAGAACTGATTTCTTCATCACAGCACACCAATTATGGTGTTGGTTGACTCACAAGAAATTGTTTTTCTGAAGGTAAAAAAAGGTCAAAGTTAGCAATTTCTTGTGGTTTAAATTACTATTGTGAAGAGGTACTTTGTATACTTCTTATTAGGATGATTGTGGAGCAAAAGCACATGTCATCTGTGTTGTGTATATTACAACTTTGTGAAAACTATTGGTCCATTCAACTCCTAAATTATTAAGTGCTGCTGTTTGCCCAAACCATTACTGTTTGTCTGAATTATAAATCACAGTGTATATGCTAAATGCCATTGTAATTAAATTTGAGAAGCACTATGGGTAGCTCTGGTGGTGTAGTGCATAAGGCACTTGACTGCTAACCAGAAGGTTGACAATTCAAACCCACCAGCTGCTCCTTGGAAGGAAGATTGGGCAATCTACTTCTGTAGAGACATTGACTCGGAAACCCAAGGTGGGGTCAATATGAGTCAGAGAGCACTCGACGGCACATAACATACATGCAAAGAAATGTGAAATAAACAATAGGAGAGGTTTGTTTGTTGTTTTAATTGCAAAACATGTTAACAGTCTTATATGTATGAAACTTAAATCATTCTTTTGAGGAAATCTTCTTTCTCTCTTTAAATCAATTGTTTTCTCATTTGATTTGCTTGAGCTTTCTTACTGCTAGGAATATGGTGTCCCCCCACCTTTTTTGTGGGGGGAAGGTAATGTATTTTACCTTTGTGATCTTTCAGAAAAATAATTTGAAGAGCTCTGAACTCTCAGGGAGATAAGCAAGCAATCTGCTTCTCAGAGTTGTCACAGATCCTCATTTGGCATATCTTCAATGTTAATCAACTGACTTGGACCCTCATTTATAACAACTGCACAGCTGAAGTATTTGTGTCTAGCAATGGCTCCAGCTTTTCAGAAGAAACATCCTTATCCCCAAGAAAACTGCCTTGGTCAAGTTTGCTAAAAGCAAATTACAAAGCTCTACATTTTTCCTCATATTGATTTTTGGTTCCCTTTTTGTAAATCTTTCCAGATTAGGGCCCCAGAAAACAATGTCTTTTTATCTTTTTGACAATTTTGTTGCTATTCATATGTTATTCAAGAAATTAAAACAAGGACTGTTTTGTTGTCTAATAGAGTAAACACTAGTTATTTCTCCAAGATGCTTTCTATAAATCTTAAAGTATAACTCCATAACTTTGACTAATCAGATACCAAAGAAACTGAAATATTCACTTGCGAGAAAAAAAAAAAAAAGCCTGGAAGCATTGCATTCCATCTTGAAATTGGGTGGAAACATAACAAGGTTTTTAATAATGAATGTTCACTAAATAATTTAAATGGCAATGGAGTGGCTGGTGGTTTTGAACCACCAGCCTTCTGGTTAGTAGTCAAATACCTTAAGCACTATGACACCAAAGCTCCCAATGATTTTACAGGAACGATTAAATAAACCTTTGACTATATTTTGTATTCAGTTGACAGAGAACCCTCAGACCTGAAAATATGGGTTCAAATACTTTATAGCAGAAAAATGCTAATGCATGTGTTAAAGTACAACAAATAATAATTAGTAAAGAAGCCATATGATCATAATTAATATAAGAAACAAACTAAACCAATGTGAAGAAACAGCCTGGAAGGAGAGACATTGATTTACTTGTAGCTAATGTTATGTACGAGCTCTGGTAGCCTAGTACCTAAGGCACTTGTCAGCTAACCAGTAGACTGGTGGTTCAAACCCACCAGCCACTCCTCAGAAGAAAGGTTGGGCAATCTACTTCCGTAGTGATAACACCTCGGAAACCTAAGAAGGGGTCACCATGAGTAGGGGCTGCCTCGACGACACATAAGAACAACAACAATGCTATGTAGGACCAAGTAATATTTCCTTCTATGGAAGGTCTGATCCAACTCTATGACACCTAACAATAACAACTACAACAACAGTGCTATGTAATGGAATGAAGAGAAGCACTGCTCCTGCAGTGGTTAAGCATTCCAATGTTAAAAGAAAGAATCCTTTGAACCCACCAGCTTCTCTGCAGGAGAAAGATGTGACAATTTGCTTTGGAAAATACAGTAGCCTTGGAAACCCAATGGGGCAGTTCTACTCTATAAAGTTACACTGAGTTGGCAAAGGGTTTAATGGAGTGATAAGAGATTCTTTTGGATCTTTTCCTTTGACATTCTAAAATTTCTAAGTTGGTTATATTTATCATGGGAGGAATAGACAACATTTGAGGTTTTGGGATTCTTAAATTCTATCATATGACCTGGATGAAAACACATAAACCTAAACTCTCTAATGCCTAAACCCACAGTCCTGTGCAATGAAAATTGAGAATTAAGATTTTAGATCATGGACCACAAGACCAATATCTAATAAGAGACATAATTTTTATTGTGGTCCTAGTTTACATTGTGATGAAGAAAGCAGAACAATAATTTTTAGAAACATTTTTAATCACATTGTTTGAAACAAAAACTCTTTCCAATGAAGTTTTGGTTGCCAGAAAATCAATTACACTTAAATGTCTTTCTATCTGAGAAATATGGTTAATCCTGGTTTAACTGTGTCTGTCTTATTCTAACAGCCAAGGTAATCAATAACAAATTAACTTGTAGCTAATTAGGAGGAAAACTCAGAGACCAAGTAGCTCTGGGCACAACACTGAAAAAAGCTTTAAAAGTTCAATTTTTTAAAAAAATCTTGCTTCCTTTCCATCACAGAAGTTGTAAGTACACCTTATGGTTACAATCATTATCAACTTGGTCTCTTATATTGATAAAGTACTTAAGATCTAATTGACTTGCACTTTATTTTTATTTTGGTCTGTCAATAGTCATCTCAGTGAGCAGGACTAGTGTTATCATTCCCATTTTAGAGATAAGGAAATTGATTCTTAAAGGCCTTGACTAATTGCACTAATGAAATTGTGAATACTGGGAAGGCTGGAGTATTTTTGGTTCTCTCATAATATTATGCCACATATCACAGAAATATGTTTCCTCAAAGACTATATATCAATGAGCTTTCCAAATTTTAATTAATTAGGCAGATTATGGAAAAATTCCTATTTTATTTCCTACACCGAAATAGGAGATTATTTTATTGAACTAGCTTTCCATATCTGAACTGAATAACAGAGAAAATAGTTTTTTTGTCAACTAACAAATAGGAAATTTTGGTTCTGTTTTGCAAGCATTTTTACAGAACTGCCGCTCTTGTACTGTGAACAAGCATGAATTACACTCCTGCTTAGTGTCAAACCTGTGCACCCCCAACCCTTTGCCCCTAAACAATGTCAACACATTGTTGACAGTGGTGTGGATGTCTCTGTGACCTGGGAGCTGGCATTCTCCAGAGTGAGGAAAGGGGTTCGCAGGAGGTGTCCTTACCAGTGGTCTGCTGTGATTGTTTAGATTTCAGGTAAACTTTTCTTCTCATTGCTTGTATTGAAGTTTCCATGATCTCTGCCGCTTGGGCAATAGCTCGGCTAGTTGGTTCAGGGAGCTTGGAAAAAGACAGAAGCTGAGCTGGAGAATTTACTTCCCTTTTCTTGAGGTTTCTATGGCACAAAAAGAGAAATATAAAATAAATTATTATTTTATGGTAGCTTTGGTAATTCATTAATTTATTTATTAAGCAGACATTTACTGAGTACCTACTGTATATCAGACAGTATGCTGGGCACAGTAAGCTACATAAAGATAAATCTGATACAGATCCTGCCCACAGAATCATATAATTAATAAAAGTAATAAGACCTGAATATAAATAAAAGATCAGTGTTGAAAGATGAAGAAAATGTACATTATTTTTTTTTTTACAAAACTTTCATATCATACTCGTCTCATAAGAAAGTTTATAAATGGCATTTTCAGAAAATTCTAGTTTGCTCTTATCTGTTTATTTTTAGCCCCAAACAAGAAAGTTCAGAAAGAAAATAGACTTGTCCAGCTCACACTGCCGCCAGATGCTAACATTGTGACTTGGCTCTAAATTCTATGTTCTTTCCACTATAATTCACAGAATCTATTAATTGTAGCAACAAAACATGGCAACTGAGATGTTTACAGTTGAGTCATTCTCAAAGAATGTTAAAAACAACAACAACAACACAAAAACATAAAGAGAAATGAAACCTTTGAAAACCTATCCCTAAATGTCTCCTTGTTTGTTGGGGCCTCTTCATTCACATAGGCCCCTGTTCCTATCACATTCCCTGGATTTCCAACTAAGGGAACCCAATCCAGGTTCTTTTCAAAGTCCCTCTGCCCATTAGCGTTCAGAACCTGGATGAAGAGCATGACAGAGATGACACTAGAGGGATGCTACCTATCACTCTGTTAAATACTCAGGCCCAGTCAGCATTGCTAGAAGAGCAGCAGAGGGAATTTACGAGGCCCCCCAGTTCACTTTACCCTAGCCATTAATCTTAGGGAATAGTGGAACCAGGTCAAAATCTCAAGGATGAGTGGGCCACTCCCGAAATTCATATTCTTCCCAGAACCTCCGAATATTAACTTGTTTGAAAATATGGTCCTTGGAGATGCAATTTCTTAAGTTAAGATGAGGTCATACCGGAGGAAGTTGGGCCTTAAATCTAAAAAGAATAGTTTTCTTATAAGAAGAGAAGAGACAGAGAGACACAGAGAACACCAGGTAATGATGGAGGCAGAAATGGACACATTTACAAGCCAAATAATGCCAAGAATTGCTGACCTTCACTGGAAGCTAGAAGAGAGGAATAGAACTGATAACTCACTCAGAGCTCTCCAGAAGGAACCAACCTTACTTACACCTTAATTTCAGATGTGTCACCTCCAGAATTATGGAGAAATAACAAATTTCTGTTGTTGGTGTTTTGTTATGGCAGCCATACGAAACCAATACATATAGTATTGAATAGAAATCCAGGTTTAAGATTACCACACTGTCCAGTCTACTTAGTCAATTCCTGGAGCAAATAGAAACTTAAGCTCTTAGCTCTAAACTCTAAGCTTTCCTTGTTGTTATGTGCCGTCAAGTCGGCCCCGACTCATAGCGACCCCTCCTTGGGTTTCCGAGGCAGTATCACTACGGCAGTAGGATTGCCCAACCTTCCTTCCGAGGAGTGGCTGGTGGGTTTGAACTGCCAGCCTTTTGGTTAGCAGTCAAGTGCTTTAGCCACTATGCTACCAGAGCTAAGCTTTCCTTAGAGACATATATTTTAAACCTATCACTGAGAAAGGAATTTTGCTAATAGGAAAAATATTTTTTTAATATGATGTTGTTGTTAGGTGCCGTTGAGTTATCTCAGACTCATAGCCAGCCCATGTAGAACAGAACACAATACTGCCTGGTCCTGTGCCAACCTCATAATCCTTGCTATAACTGAGCCCATTGTTACAGCCACTGTGCCAATCCATCTTGTTGAGGGCCTTCTCCTCTTTTGTTGACCCTCCACTTTACCAAGCCTAACATCCTTCTCCAGGGAATGGTCCCTTCTGACAACATGACCAAAGTAGGTGACCAAAATCTCGTCATTCTCACTTCAAAGTAGCACTCCAGTTGCACTTCTTTCAGGACAAATTTGTTAGCTCTTTTAGTAGTCCATGGTACTTTCAGTATTCTTTGCCAACACCACAACTCAAAAGCATCAATTCTTTTTCAGTCTTTCTTATTTATTGTCCAGCTCTTACATGCATATGAGGCAATCAAAAATATGATGGCTTGGGTTAGGCACACCTTAGACTTCAGGGAGACATCTTTGCTCTTCAGCACTTGAAAGAGGTTTTTTTGCTGCAGATTTACCCAATGCAATATGCCATCTGATATCTTGATTGCTGCTTCCATTGGTGTTGATTGTAGAACCAAGTAATATGGAGTCTTTGACAGCTTCAATCTTTTCTCCATTTATTGTGATTTTGCTTATTGGTCCAGTTGTGAGGATTTTTGCTTTCTTTATATTGAGGTGTAATCCTTACCTCAGACTGTAGTCTTCAGTCTGCACCAGGAAGTGCTTCAAGTCATCCTCACTTTCAGCAAGCAATGGTGTCTTGCCTGCATATCACAGGTTGTTAATGAGTCTTCCTTCAATCCTAATATCATGTTCTTCATATAGTCCAGCTTCTAAGGTTTTTACATATAGAAACTAATATTTGATTGTTATGAGAAGAGCCAAGGAGGTAGGGTTTTTTCTTTTTTTTTTTTTTTTTGACTTAACACACTGGAAGAGACAAAAATTCCTAGAAAAGGGACTTAAATTCCTAGAAAAAGGAATTAAAATGGAGCACTTTAGTTCATATCACTCAAAAAACAATGCAAAGGTCTATGTCCTGCTTATAGGAGTAAATTACTCCCTTCTCCAACTAAATGTCAAATTAAAGATCAAATTCTTAAATCTACAGAGTCGTATATTCCTTCATCAAGTGATTATTAAGATTACTGGGAATTTAATAATATCTTATTCTATAAATAATATTCAAAACAAATGCAACTTTGAAAAAAAAAGAGTTCATAATATAGTGTGTTATTTCATTTGACATTTCTCTACTGTAAAGGAATCAGCTTCCTGGTGGAATCTAGGACCATTCAGAATAGTATATGATATATGTATTTCAGTAAGCTTGCTGAGAATATTCAAAATATTCTTTCTTTTGTATGAATTTCAGGAAATCCAAGTTGTGAACTTAATAATTTTTGACCATTTGTTTTTCAGAAATGTTTGAATCATAAATCTCCTTGCCTTGAGTGCATTTTCTTTCCTGTAAATCAAATAACATGCAAACACATGCACACATATCACATTTCTCTTAGTCATCTTACTGTTAGCATAACTGCTAAATGGCCCAGACTTTGTCTGTTGACTACTAGACTACAGCTTAAGGATGAAGAAAAAAATAGAAGTTGTCAATGAAATATGAACTGTAAAACTCCATTTTAGTTGGACCAACCGCCAACGTCCATGGAAGCAATAGTCAAGACACTAAAAAATTGGAGTTCCAGTAAGATGGCAGAATAGGCAGAAACCACACAATCCCTCTTCAACAAAGAAATAATTAACAATTAACACAGATACAGAAGATAATCCTGGAGCCCCAAGCTTTGAAAGGAAGGATACAGAAGTGGACTAAACTTCAACTAGAAGAAGAACCTGCATGAAAACAGTGAAAATGCATGAAAACATATGAAGCTGCAGTCTGTCAGAAATCTGGAGGGAATGGACAGCTTGGATATTGCCAAGAAGTGTCAAAAAAAATAAAATAAAATAAAATAAAATAAAACCAAAGAAAATTCATTGCTGTCAAGTCAGATCCACCCGACCCCTCTTTGGGTTTTGGGGCAGTATCACTACAGAAGTAGATTGCTCAATCTTCTGTCCAAGGAGTGGCTGGTGGGTTTGACCACTAGCCTTCTGGTTAACAATCAAATGCCTTAGGCACTGTGACACCAGAGCTCCCAAATGACATTAGGACCTAAGAATTAACCTAAGAATTGGCCCAGCCAGCCAGAGCCTGCATGGAGGACTGCATTGGTGGCTAGTGAATAAAAGGGGAAGCAGTGAAGAGGGAGATGGGCTGAGCTGTGGAATTTTGACTATCCAGTGGGTGAAGCCATTTTGAATGTTTACAGTTGGTTTGGACATTTTGTATATTCAAAGCAACAGCATTTTCTCAGGTTCAAAGGACTTTAGAATAGGCTCCAATTGCTGGGGACCACAAGGGCATTGAGGACATGAATGACTGGAAAGGTGTGATATTCCCCTTGTTACTCTTATATCTCACACTGTCTTGGTGAACTGAGTGAGGTGCAGCCATCCCTCCCTGCCACCCATCTTCTGGGTCAGGGAGGTTTCCATTCCAGTTTGCATGCTCCAATGGGGTCTGGGTGCCCTGCCCTTTTTAACTTTTCTTTTTTCAGTTTGTTTGTTTTTGTCTGTTTTAAAATTATTATTATTATTATTCTCATCTTTTCATCCTTTTTATTATTATTCTTTATTCTTCCTTTCCCAGGTTCTAGTTTTTGGCTTTTTCTCTCTTCCATGTTCCAGGTTTCCATTTTTTTCTTTCTTCTGGTTCTCCCAATTCATTGTCTTTCTTTTTGTATTTTCCTCATTTTTTCTTCATTATTCTCCTACTTTACCTCTTTTCTCTTATTACTCCCTCCCAAGATATTGCAAGATTTTTTTTCTCTTTTCTTTTTCCTTTTTCTCATTGTTGTTGTTCCTGTGTGTTTATGTGGTGTGTTTTTTGACCACTAGCTTTTGCCTTTTTAATGGTTTTTACATTGCAGTATTTTTTTCTAACTGAGTGGGAGACAGTAACTGCGCCCAGATGACACAACCACAACTGAATGTACTGCAGCTCCATTTACTGAGAGCAACCACTTCTTTCTCCACCAACTGGCCAATGATAAATGGGCACCAAGAAGAACCTGACTCACCCTTAACTGGTCTTCACAAACAGTTAACAGAGATCTAAATACAACAATGTCACAATGTCTCAAAGACAACAGACCAGCACAGTCCACAAAAAGAAGCAAGATAAATCGGTAGAAATAAGGGAGCAGGATGCAGACCCAGAA